TGGTTTCGCGCGCGAGCACTCAACCATTAGACCACTGAGCCGGCATCCAACGGTGTTAATGCCTAACTTCAACCAATCCACGAAGTTGCGTCACCGTACACCATTGTCATCAGTGAGTTCCTATCTCACAACAGACCTGGTTCAACTCCACTCGTAACGACTTCTCACTAGAACTCCAGGAGTGTCTCCTGAATTCAGTCACTAGTGAGCAGGTGATTATTATTATCAGAATGTGTTTTGTGGAGATTTTTAGAAATTTCACAAGTTGAAATCATGAGTCAGTTGAAGCTAGACCACCATTGAAAACCTGGAAGCACTGGACGGCCGTTTCGTCCTAGTATGGGACTCCTCAGCAGTGCGCATCCACGACCCCGCACCACCCGGGGCTCGAACCCAGGACCTACTGGCTTCGCGCGCGAGCACTTAACCATTAGACCACTGAGCCGGCATCCAACGGTGTTAATGTCTAACTTCAACCAATCCACGAAGTTGCGCTACCGTACACCATTGTCCTCAGTGAGTTCCTATCTCACAACAGACCTGGTTGAACTCCACTGGTAACGACTTCTCACTAGAACTCCAGAAGTGTCTCCTGAAGTCAGTCACTAGTGAGCAGGTGATTATTATTATCAGAATGGGTTTTGTGGATGCCGGCTCAGTGGTCTAATGGTTAAGTGCTCGCGCGCGAAGCCAGTAGGTCCTGGGTTCGAGCCCCGGGTGGTGCGGGGTCGTGGATGCGCACTGCTGAGGAGTCCCATACTAGGACGAAACGGCCGTCCAGTGCTTCCAGGTTTTCAATGGTGGTCTAGCTTCAACTGACTCATGATTTCAACTTGTGAAATTTCTAAAAATCTCCACAAAACCCATTCTGATAATAATAATCACCTGCTCACTAGTGACTGACTTCAGGAGACACTTCTGGAGTTCTAGTGAGAAGTCGTTACCAGTGGAGTTCAACCAGGTCTGTTGTGAGATAGGAACTCACTGAGGACAATGGTGTACGGTAGCGCAACTTCGTGGATTGGTTGAAGTTAGACATTAACACCGTTGGATGCCGGCTCAGTGGTCTAATGGTTAAGTGCTCGCGCGCGAAGCCAGTAGGTCCTGGGTTCGAGCCCCGGGTGGTGCGGGGTCGTGGATGCGCACTGCTGAGGAGTCCCATACTAGGACGAAACGGCCGTCCAGTGCTTCCAGGTTTTCAATGGTGGTCTAGCTTCAATTGACTCATGATTTCAACTTGTGAAATTTCTAAAAATCTCCACAAAACCCATTCTGATAATAATAATCACCTGCTCACTAGTGACTGAACTCAGGAGACACTCCTGGAGTTCTAGTGAGAAGTCGTTACGAGTGGAGTTGAACCAGGTCTGTTGTGAGATAGGAACTCACTGATGACAATGGTGTACGGTGGCGCAACTTCGTGGATTGGTTCAAGTTAGGCATTAACACCGTTGGATGCCGGCTCAGTGGTCTAATGGTTAAGTGCTCGCGCGCGAAACCAGTAGATGCTGGGTTCGAATCGCGCGAGGTGCGGTGTCGTGGATGCGCACTGCTGAGGAGTCCCATACCAGGACGAAACGGCCGTCCAGTGCTTCCAGGTTTTCCATGGTGGTTTAGCTTCAATTCACTCATCATTTCAACTTGTGAAATTTCTAAAAATCTCCACAAAACACATTCTGACAATGATAATAATAATAATAATAATAATAGTAATAATCACCTGCTCACTAGTGACTGATTCAGGAGACACTCCTGCAGTTCTAGTGAGAAGTCGTTACGAGTGGAGTTGAACCAGGTCTGTTGTGAGATAGGAACTCACTGATGACAATGGTGTACGGTGGCGCAACTTCGTGGATTGGTTCAAGTTAGGCATTAACACCGTTGGATGCCGGCTCAGTGGTCTAATGGTTAAGTGATCGCGCGCGAAACCAGTAGGTGCTGGGTTCGAATCGCGCGAGGTGCGGTGTCGTGGATGCGCACTGCTGAGGAGTCCCATACCAGGACGAAACGGCCGTCCAGTGCTTCCAGGTTTTCCATGGTGGTTTAGCTTCAATTCACTCATCATTTCAACTTGTGAAATTTCTAAAAATCTCCACAAAACACATTCTGATAATAATAATCACCTGCTCACTAGTGACTGAATTCAGGAGACACTCCTGCAGTTCTAGTGAGAAGTCGTTACGAGTGGAGTTGAACCAGGTCTGTTGTGAGATAGGAACTCACTGATGACAATGGTGTACGGTGGCGCAACTTCGTGGATTGGTTCAAGTTAGGCATTAACACCGTTGGATGCCGGCTCAGTGGTCTAATGGTTAAGTGCTCGCGCGCGAAACCAGTAGATGCTGGGTTCGAATCGCGCGAGGTGCGGTGTCGTGGATGCGCACTGCCGAGGAGCCCATACCAGGACGAAACCGCCGTCCAGTGCTTCCAGGTTTTCCATGGTGGTTTAGCTTCAATTCACTCATCATTTCAACTTGTGAAATTTCTAAAAATCTCCACAAAACACATTCTGATAATAATAATAACCTGCTCACTAGTGACTGAACTCAGGAGACACTTCTGGAGTTCTAGTGAGAAGTCGTTACCAGTGGAGTTCAACCAGGTCTGTTGTGAGATAGGAACTCACTGAGGACAATGGTGTACGGTAGCGCAACTTCGTGGATTGGTTGAAGTTAGACATTAACACCGTTGGATGCCGGCTCAGTGGTCTAATGGTTAAGTGCTCGCGCGCGAAGCCAGTAGGTCCTGGGTTCGAGCCCCGGGTGGTGCGGGGTCGTGGATGCGCACTGCTGAGGAGTCCCATACTAGGACGAAACGGCCGTCCAGTGCTTCCAGGTTTTCAATGGTGGTCTAGCTTCAACTGACTCATGATTTCAACTTGTGAAATTTCTAAAAATCTCCACAAAACCCATTCTGATAATAAAAATCATTATTATTATTAATTTCGTACATCATTCAACAATCCGTTCAAGGTTACTAGTACTAAAATTAACCAACAAAACAAAATACTAAACTAAATATCATTATCATAGTCAACAAAAATCAAATTGACCTACTCTTGGAGGATAACATTGTAACATTCTTATTGAAGTTTAATGGCAATTCTTTCTTTTTATTCAATCTGTTTATAAACATAATATCACAGAATGGTTTTTATAGGTATTATAGTAATATAATAGTTGAATTCATGAGTCAATTGAAGCTAGATCATCAGCAGTAAATGGCCGTTTCGTCGTAGATGTGCATTGTTGAAGAGTCTCATACTGAGACGAAACGGATGTCCAATACTTCCAGATTTTTTCATGATGGTTTAGATTTAACTGACTCATGAATTCAACTATTAAAAATGATATTTGTACTTATGTAACCTTATAAATTATTGTGTTGATGATCTTTAGGAAGATATGTAAAATTGTATTAATAACAATGACTGTGATGAAGTAATCAACAAGAACAATAAGAAGTGAGGCTGATCATTTCAATCTCTAAGATGATTTAAATGAATTAGTTAGATAGGCTTGAGCTAGGAGCTTAGAAGTTAATTCTAGGAAAAGTGTGCTCATGCACATCGGATACAGTAATAATTACCATTGTGCTATGGATGGTACATCTCTTCCACCCGTTCATGAACATAAAGACTTAGGATTAATAATAAGTCATGACTTGAAAACAACTACGCATTGCAACGCAGCTACTGTCAAAGTTTATGGTACGTTATGGTCACTTTGTCGGGCATTTAAATGCTTTGACGAGGAAATGTTTCGAATTTTATATCCTACCTATGTAAAACCACACTTGAAGTACTGTACCCAAGCAGCTAGCCCATGTCTAATAAAGGATACCAACTCACTTGAGTGTGTGGGAACAAAATTAGTGAAATGTCTTTCTAAACTTCCTTACGATGAGCACTTAAAATGCCTAAACCTTTCCCTCGTGTCGTATTGTAGGACGCGAGGTGACTTTATACTGGCATTTCGTATCTTTAATTATGATTTGGGTGTTAATATGTTTTTTCCTTTTGCTCCCTCCAGCACTAATAATCTACGAGGTCATAGCAAGAAGTTTCACAAATCACGATCTAATAAACTTAAAGTGAGGTCCCGTTTTCCTCATCGAGTAGTCAATGATTAGAACGCCTTACCCGGACAAGTGGTATCAGCCTCATCAGTGAATATTTTCAAAGAGAAGCTGGAATTTCACTGGGAGGCAATCTGTTAGGATTAAAACAGGTTCACCAACCTACTGAAGACTAAAGACTGAAGATAAATGATCTCTTCATCAATAAAGCCAGTGATGTTAAATGACGATTATACTATATTATGAGTTGAATGAGATTATAAACTTAATTGGATTGTAACTAATATAGTTTTCTACTATAGAGATTTAAAATTGCCACATATGTAATTATATATGGAATTTCGCGCATGAATCACCGAATACTCCTCAATAAAACATTTTATTAATTTACACGATTTTCAATCTTTTTAATCAATATCAGTTGTTCTTTTGCTTGATAGGTTTTCTAATTGAACGGTCGATTCGATTCTTAAGCTCTTCTGGCTAGATCTACACAACAACTTGAACATGAGAGAAAAGGCACAAAAAATTGAAGAAATGCTTTACTCCAGAGGTTCATGTATGTACAAAAAATCTAGTGTTTTTATATTACTTTAAATGACCTTGAATTTCCTGAAAATTCTAGAATCCTACTAAATATAGTAGCAGCAGAAGTAATCATCCTATCAGAAATTCGACAAAATTTGGCAAAATTCTACCGAACTCTGACTGGATAAGTTACTTCCGAGTGTTTTCAGAGCCTTTGACGGTTTTTTTCGAGAAATTTTCTGGTTATCCCCAAATTTTATTAAATAAAAAAATGTTTATATCAGTACAAACAATCAACATGAATATAAAGAGATTATATGAATAAAGAATCAAACATTATTGAGTATTATAACGAAAAAGTACGAAACTGAAGAAATAAGATCAATCAGATCAAATCAAGCAACCACGCACAGTTTAGGTGAAATTAAAGTCTTAGAACTGGGTAATAATAATAATAATAATAATAATAATAATAATAATAATAATAATGATGATGATGATGATGATGATGATGATGATGATGATGATGATGATGATGATGATGATGATGATGATGATGATGATGATGATGATGATGATGATGATGATGATGATGATGATGATGATGATGATGATGATGATGATGATGATGATGATGATGATGATGATGATGATGATGATGATGATGATATATATGACGATTTCCATGTAAATATTTGAATTTTTTTCAAGTTCATTCGCTTAAATTTCACAAATGTGTCCTTCTTCTTTAATGTTTCATATCAATTCGTCGCCCAAATACTGTGAATCTATTCGATCAAATTTAGATTAAAGTTCTTAAACACACCAGTTATTTCAACATACTCAATTTTAAATTCACCTGGTATCGTTTAATTGAATCTTCCCATTGGTATTTTAGACTACAATTCATCAGTCTCGTATTAGCATATGTGAATCATATACGGACTTCCTCGATATCGCCTTAAGTCACAACCATTATAAGCGAACATGAAGATTAACTAGCAGTGGGATCCACGACACGCATTTCATCCTATTTGGGACTCGCCAGATGGATGTACCTGCATGTCGGAGTTGATGATGTTCACTCTGGGACTCCAACCCAGTACCACTTACTTCAAACGCCATCAAGTTATTTACTTAGCTACTGATTTCTGATAGCCACTAGATTGTGTAATGTGGTGAAGTTTTAAATTCATTTTGTGTCGTTTGTTTGAATCTTCCCATCGATATTTAAAACTGCAATATATCAGTTTGCCTCATAAATAATATTCAACTGATCATCATTTATCATGTCTTTTGATTAGCATAATAAATATTAAACGGATTATTCTTTAATATGAGCTACACAAATTCCAGTTCGATAGAATTTATTTAAAAGTATACTTCTTTATTCGACTCTCTAGGTAGATTTGTTTTAAGTGAGTTACAATTTACACTTAATTATCCCTGATGTAAAAAGCTGTTAGCTAGTTTAATTGTAACTGTTTTTGAAAGTTGAAGAAACTCGGTTATCGTTCTATAATTCTTCTTTGAGATATATTCAAAAACTATCAAAACAGACATCATATAAGCATGATAAATAGCTAGTCGATAAATAGACATACCAGTACCATTTATTCTACAGATGTTATGTCAGTCAGTCAGTCAGTCAGCTAAAACGCAGGACCACACACACATATATATCGATCAAAGTTGCCATACCGCATTAACACAACAAGAGGAACATCGGATTCATAGAAGTAGTTAATTCAGCGGTGGTAATATATAAATGAAAGATTGCATATAAGGACATAGTACAGGAAGAAAGAATTAGTTCGTAGAAAGAAAGATGTGAAGCGATTTTAATTTCATAGTTTAAGGGAAGACAGAGAGTGTATACACTGACGCCATTATGATCGATTCTGAGCCATGTCACCAAGAGTCTCCAACCATTGGTTATGATAGTCATGCGGACACCAACCAAGTAGTCTGCATCTACCAACATGGCTCAGACTAGAGGTTAGTGTCTTCAAGCACTGATGCCACGTTTTGGTTTGGCCGCCCCTAACTTTCTTCCAACCGTCTCCAACACTAGTCAGCATTGCGCGTCATGATAACCGGTGTTTAGGCATACGTAACATATGGTCCAACCACCTCAGTCGATGTAGATTCGCAACATCATCAACTGATTTACCATTATTCATTAATAACTTATATCTATCCTCACTATTACTTACCCGGTGACCCCAGCAGATGCGAGCAATATTTCTAAGGCATTTGTGATCAAATACTAGTAGCTTACGAGTATCTCCTACTCTTGATAGTCACGTTTCGCAACCATAAGAACTGTTATATATTACATAAATCCAAATATTTCTATTGTTGGAATTAACAGTGCTACTACTGAAGTGAACCAACTCAGATGGAAAAAATCATAAACAGCATACATCACACTGCAATGTAAGCCTATTTTAAAAACTATCGATTATCAACCAAATCGGTAATAAGTTTTCAGTTTACCTATCATATGTAATGAATATCAAATTGTCAACAATTTCAAAACTTAATTTTATAATTAACTCCTAAATAATTCGAGCGTAATTTTCAGTCAAAATTTCATTTCAAATCATCATTTCCACAATGTTTGTATGTAGTATGTTGACCTGAGTTACACGAACATTTTCATAATAGTCAATTATAGATGGTTTAAGAAGCTTGAAATAAAATATTCAACATACACCTATTGAAAATTATTAAACATTGAAAGTATTGTAGACAACCTTTAGTAAATCAAGTCATAACGTCATTGATTATTGAATGATCTATGAAATCTACATTGTCTTCAATCAATTACATTTCTAGATGATATTGTCCATTTGCACTTAGTATTACACATTCCGTAAAACTACAATTTATGGACGACCTTTGAGTGACACTAAAGTGACCCTAAGTGTGTTCACCAAATAACTAGAACCAAATGAAGGTTATAAACCAGTTTAAGGAATTTGAATTATGATTTGCAGTTGATGGTTAAGGTTAGGAATTAGATTTAAGGTTTTCATTACGAACTGACATCAGTTATAATGCCAAAATTCTATTTAGCCAAATCGATGAGTAAATTTCGCGTCAAAATTTAAGACTTTTTATCTTATACCTAATTGTTTCGTCCACAAATTATAGTCTCGTCACTCATTCTGTATAAAATATAGGTTATTTTATAAGAAAGAAATTGCTTTGTCAGTAGATTCTTTATTATTTTATTCTGATATCTGTTCACTCAATTAACTTTTATATTCATAATTCAATTTTCATGAGTGCTCATTACTCAGTTATATTATGTAATCTGTTTGAAACATTAAATTATCAACTTCTTATTTCAATCATCAGATTGTCTTAATCTTACACTCGCGTTATTTCACATTGTCTTTAATTCCTTTTATTATTAAATGTAAGTACAATTAACATATGCTAACAAGTGACGGTTTCCAAGAGGCATTTCCTGGAGTTCTAGTGAGAAGCAGTGACCAGTGGAGTTAAACCGGGTCTGTTGTGAGATAATAGCTCATTGAAAACAATGGCGGATGTATCGCTTAATCTCGTGGATTAGTTGAAGTTAGACATTAAGATCGTTGGATGCAGGCCGGCTCAGTCGTCTAGTGGTTAAGCGTCCGCGCGCGAGACGGGGTCGTGGATGCGCACTACCGAGGAATCCCACAGTAGAACGAAACGGAGGTCCAGTACTTTCAGATTTTCCATGGTGGTCTAGTTTCAATTGACTCATGATCTCAACTATTAAAATTACTATAACATCCATAAAACCCCTTCTGATATTAATCTTTTTAGTATCTTAAAAAGAGAAGGAACAATAAACTGAGCAGAATAACATGAATTTATGTGATTTTGTTAGGTTCTCATAGTCTGCTTTTAACCTATAATATTTTAAAATCAGAATTATCAGAGAATTCACACACTTATAACAATAGAATTGACTATGTATCATCATGGTGGTGTAATCATATTGAAGATATATGATGAGTGTTACAAATAGATCTAATATCTGAGAGGAGAACCTGGATCATCGGAGAGTATTAGGCGATCATTTTATTACAGCAGCTCACATACATTTGAGTTTGTTCACATTTAATTTAGTTAAACCCTTTTATTAACTCATTTAACAGACCGAGTCATTCGTACAACAACAACAAATTATCTGTACCATTGTACTATTATTATTGTTGCGCTTGTATGAACATGTATGCTTGAGCATTACTTACCGCCTACACATATATTCATTCTGCTAACTTCAGTGTTAGTTACTTAAATGATTCGATGATGCATTTATTTTCCTTTGCATATATATGTACATTTAATCTTTCTCTTCCGCACTTGCATATCATTTTTGCTTTATGTGCCTGTGGTTTTAGTGATCTGTGTGTGATGCGATAATAAACGTAATCAACACTTTGTATTCGTCTTCTGATCTATACACTGTTGGGCGTTATCTACTAGCGGTTATCAGGACGAGCAGTATACGAATTATAAGAATTATACCAAATATCGACCGTCACAAGAATTAAGATAATTAATTGATTACGCAACTAAGTAGTTGAATATAAATAAACAGCATTTAAGAATGATATAAATTGAATTTTTAAAATATTATGAGTTATAAACAATTGATGAGAACCTTATGAAATCAAATGAATCTTTTTTATTCTTCTTATTCCCTCATCTTTGCTTTCTTCAGGTTATTTTGTTCTACTGTGGAACTGCTAAACAGTGTACACTTACAGTAATCCTAATTATTAAACCTGAAACCAGTATGCTTCACAGCTGGTATACATTTTTTTTAGATCACTGTATCACAACTCAACAGTTCATATTTCTGTTCGGTTCGAAGCTAACACAAGTCCACTTGATCTGTGAACGAGAACAAAGACTCAGTGACCAAGACCAGTAAGCTAGCTATTTGATGCGTCCTAGCCCCGCTAACTAGAGGGAGAAGTCCAAGCTTGGAATGGAAAAGTATATTCTGCAAACAGCCAGAAACGAGCTATATATATATACCCATATATATATATATATATATATATATATATATATATATATATATATATATATATATATATATATATATATATATATATATATATATATAGTGCAAAACCGTCCTTGGGGAGAGTCACCAAATAGCATACTAAAAGACGCAACGAACCAATAACATTTAAGATACATCCCAGTAGGAAATACTACATGAAGGTGACAAGATCGCCCCTGGCGCGAAAGCAAAGAAATTCAAATTTTCTAAATAGAATTACAAAACTGGGTCCTTTCCCAAGTGAGTTCTGGAGATCTAAAGTCCCCAACAATTTCAAACTTCAGCCAACTCGTGATGTAGTATAATTACTATTCATCTCCAAATGTGTAAAAATTATTCAGTCAGTCAGTCTTGAGTTCTCCTAGAGGTATGAGGGTGGTTATCACTTCCCGGTTGTCCACACCGTGGAAGGGTTCTTCTGGAGGTACCTGAAAAGAAAATTGCATTAGAGGTGGTCTTGGTGACTTGAGAGCGTGACCACAGTGCCCAAGGGACAACTGCATGAGGTTGGTCATACACAACCTTTTTATGGGTAATTTTTGTGTTAGCTCCGTACTTGTTGAGACCTTACCGTCGGAGACGGATATCCGTGGGATAAGGCGAGGTGTGCATTTTTAGGGTCGACCTTTTCTAACCCCA